TCAAACTCCGCCCATTTCAATAAAAGAACCTTTTTTTTTTTTTTAAAAAAAAAAAAAAAGTCTTTTAAACAAATTTCTAACCTTTAAGACTTATGCCAAGACATACTTACCAATCTTCTTCACAAAGTCATCATAGTTCTCATCGCCTTCGAATTCGTATTTGCCTGCGAATGCCATGTTGCCCTGGTGATGTGGCTGGCAGAGCAGAACAGCAGCTGGAACAAAGAAGAATGGATAAGTGCAGATGGCCTGAGGCCCTCGCTTTTATAAGCCAGCCCAAGCTGTTCAGCCCACCTATACCCACACCCCTCGGAAATACACTTTTATGATCTGTGTGAGTCACCAGCACGGATGCCGTTGACCTGTGAGAAAATCAAGGCTATCATTCAACTATACATCCTCAACAATAATCTGGAGATCAGCACAAATCAAGGACAAAAGCTCAGTTTTGATTTCAGTGCATATTTAAACAAAGTGATACATTTCTACTTTGGAGATTCCACTGATTTTGCAGTCAGGATGGAAGACTAGTAAAATATGTTATAATGACACAGGGAGAAAATGACTTCAAAGCAGTGTCCTGAGATCACAGCCTTGCTCTATTTGGAAGCACACCCTATAGTAGTTAAAATATGAAAATATGAAACAAGCTGCACAGATTCCCAAGTAATTCTGGTAGGATATGGGCAACGACAAGATTCTGGGTAAATTACCGCACCTGCACATGTCCTTATCGCCGTTGATTACAGAAAAAGGAATTATGGTATGTTTTGCACTACTCGGATATAAAGTAGGTTAGATTAGTCCGTGGCACCATGTTCCCATACCTTAATTGATATCAAGAGACAAATAGTGCTTTGCATTGCTTAGCAAATGTTTGCACAAACTAGCAAAAACATACTCATTTTGGAAAAGCTGAGCTCTGATTTATGTGAGACAACCACATGTTAAAATTCAGGGAGTCTGCTGGGTCATTTAGGATGCATACAGGAGATGTCCTGTGCCTAATGAGTCCATTGCCACGCACAGATAGCAGGGTAGGAAATCCCCAGCTGCTGCGTATTGGCATAGCTCCACTGGCTGAGGATACAGGCCAACAATTTTTAAACCGAATAAAAACATTCCTGGGATTTAGGGGAAAATGGTGTCACAGATTGGAATTCTATTTTAATTAAAGTAATAAATTTGGGGAGGAAGTGAAAATCTTTTTTGCCTAGTTTTATAAAAGTCTGGAGAAATACATAACAGCATTCCACAAGTTTTGCTGTATGCAAAGGGGGTTCACTTTCTTAGAGACAATTAATTTAATCCCAGGTGCTAATGCAAGAATATGTCTATGCAGAGTCAAGAAACTGATCAGGAGAACAGGAACACAGGCTGGGTGATCACAGAATCACAGAATGGTAGGGGTTGGAAGGGACCCCTGTGGGTCATCAGTCCAACCCTCCTGCCGAAGCAGGGTCACCTACAGTAGGCTTCACAGGACCTTGTCCAGGAACAAAAAAATGTTCAAAACCATGGAACACAAAGGTCCACTGAACTTCACCACTGCTCTCCTTGGTATACTTTCAAATCATCCTCCTCTGTGTACCCATTTCTGTGCCTCTAATTCACAGACTCCTCTGTGCTCCACTCTGCTAGAGAGGGAGAAAAACTTCAGTCATGGGATGAAACTTCAGTAAAATGTTAACTATCATAAAACATGGTACATCCTTACTGTGAAACTAGACATATCAGCAGCACTGCTACATCTAACAGTTCTGCTGCCCACAACGCTGCCTTTGGGCTCACACCGTCAGCTGAACGCTCCCTCGGCCCGTGCCCTCAGCCCTGCGTGTTGGAGGGTGCAGCGTAGTTTGCAAGCTGCTCCCCTGCCTCCTCTGGGTCCTCCTGCGGGCTCACTGACCGGCTGTGTCTTGACACAGCCTCACAGACTCGGGGCTGGGTGTAGATTGGGTTATATCAGCATTAAATGGAAGAGAAGCTAGAAATACGACAGCCTGTACCCAACTGCTTTGTCACAGCACACCAGTGTGCACAATAACTCCCTAAATTAGTATCATCGGGAGGGGGAAGAGGGGTTAAGGTTTTATTAAGCTTAAATACATGTGCTGTACATACATACATATTTAATGGCATATTACTCATCAGGGTATGTTGCAACTCAATCAAAACAATCCTCTCCAATTTGTATTAACTTTTTATTTTATTTACTGAGCTGCTTGCTTTTATGCAAAGCCTCTGTTGTAAGTTACACAGCCCTTAAACCAATTACGGAACATGCAGGGCATATGAGGTTTGAGCATGGAAATATCTCCTATCTTAGGAAAATTTTTGCAATTTCAAAACTTTTCCTTCTGGGAAAAAACGAGAGGGATTCCAGATGCTAGTGAGAGGGATCTCACTGATGGGTGAGAAGTCAGAATCAGGTGAGAAGGGGACTTCTAACGGAAAAGAATTTTCTGACCAGAAAAAGCTTCAGAAAATTCCCAGTCAGTTTTGTGAGAGATTATACCTGCGGACTAGAAAAGATCTTACCTCACATTTATTAGTTGGGAGTTTTTATTCTTTCTGTCTGGGTGGGTTTTTTTTAGCTACTTCCTCTTCTGGAGTCTGAGAGAAAGTAACTTCAAAATCTTACACCTTCTTCTGAAAGAAAACACAAAACTTTCAATTAGAGATGTGCTTTTTGAAGCTGACAACAATCCTTTACAACTACTTGTTTGGGCGTATGTTCCTGGCAGGAAAACAGTTCCATACAACAGATGCAGAAAGTGAACGGAGTGAAGCATAACAAAGTCACGGCCAATTTGTAAACTGGAAACGGAACAAATGTCCGAGGAATTACTGCCTTCCCACCCCTAGCCCTCCACTCTCCCCGTGTTTACCCAGCTTTAAACTGCACCATGCTGTGCAGGGGCTGCCCGCATTGTGCTGGAGTTCATGACGCCACAAAAGCCATACCATCTGCTGTCTGCGTGCGATTAAAAGGATGTCTCCATGCTTGAAACAGAGGACAGCCATACACTTTCCCTCTGTAAACGTTCTCCGTGTCCTGTGATTAGCATTCAGAACACAGGGCTGTGGGAGAACAGCACGAATCTGGGGGTTGCTGTATCCATTACACATACAGAGGATTCAGGGAGGGAACAGAGAAACCTGTGTCGTGGCCAGTGTTTCCTTTGCCCTTTTGATTTAATAGTGTCCACAAAATGATTCTGACTGTCCCAAACCCATATTTGACACTTCATTTTTTTTAATTAGAACTCCTTCAGCTTGATCCCAAGATTGCTGAACTCAATAGCTGATTGTGCAGGAGCAGACAACTGAAAAGGAAACTTTCTTTATCAGCTGGACCCAGATGCTCCAGCCCTATCTACATAAAGAAAAACAGCATTAGCATGGAAAACAATGAAGTGGTTGCACATACGTAGCAGCCTCCGTTCTCACTGCTGTGGTAAAGCTAAGTAGATACCAGCCAAGCTACAACAGTGTCAACTCTATGCTGTTAATAGAGGCAAAATCCCTACTCATTTCAGTCCCACACAGATTCGAAAACACCATTTAGAGGAACACATCTCATACACGAGAAAGCTGAAGCACTGTGAAGAAGTGACCTGTCGGAGCTCACGATGACGCAGCCAGTAAGAACTCCTAACTCCAGGCATCAACCCAGCGTCCAGAGGATGGCATATCAATTTAAACATTCTTTTGCTAACCAAGCCCTTAGAAGCAAATGCGTAGAGCTCTGGGCGCCCAGTCACTTTCCAGCAGTCGCCCACGGAGTGTTGCACTCGCTCCACTGCCAGGCTGTGCAAATCCTTACAGCTCCTCAGCACGACCTAAGGTTCTTGCCGTCTCCACGTGGCTGTATACCCCGAAAGGTAACCGAGCGGTGCCTGGGGAGGGGGAGACTGGCAAGACTGTCCTCAGGTTAGCTGAGCACTGATGGCCTCTGTCTTGTGCTGGGCTCTCAGCACTCCAGAGACACATGCGTAACCCCCTGAAGAAGGTAAATGAACTCCAGCCATAAACTCTTCTGTTTACACAAAAGTTTCTCAGGGACGATACCACTGGCGTAGTAACACCACATGGACCTTGGAAGACAGATGAAACTGGATAAGAAAAAAGCCACAGGTCTGTGAAGCAGGAAAAAGATAATCAGATTATATGAACAGTACTTGAGCCTTTATGTTCTCTATCTCTGAAGATCCAATTATATTAATAGCTTTCTTGTGATGAGATATAAAAATGCTGACATCTACACAACTATACAACACTTACGGCTTGCCTGCGGAGGGGCACAGAGCCAGCGTGTGGTACAGTCAGTGACCACTGAACTTCTATTTGAGTGGGTGGGTCACTCTTGCCACACACGGAGTGTGAGTTCATTCACCTCCAAGGAACTGTACGTTACGCTGTGCTTGAGGGTTCCAGGACAGGATGCAAACCTCCATCCAAACAATGAAGGTAAGGCTCCACAGCGTTAATAAATGTGCTTGCTCTGGCTGGTTGCTCAGGATCAGAACCAGCTTAGAACAAGTTTTTAGCAAACGTGCCGTCACCTGTACCAGTCTGGGCAGGGTTTCCAATGGGCACTGTGAATTCGCACCCATGTTTCTGCTCACCTGTTGTGAAATAAATCCTTATTTTCATTCCTGCCATATTTGTTATAGTACGTAATGACATTCGATAGTGTAATGGGAAATGGAGAACTTCATTAAGTAGTCTTCCAAATACTGAGTCAGGACAACATTTGTTCCAAGAATAAAGGGATGGAGGCCCTCTGACTTTACTGAAGTTACGGTCACTTGCACGTCTGCTAAGGTTAGTCATCCATGTCCCTGTCTTTTCAGTCTCAGCTAGAACCAGTATCCGTTTAATGACCTTACACTTTGCTTTTACAATAATTGTGATTTCCCTACTCTTCAGAGCTGTGAGCATGTGATGTTGCTTTTGCATACTTCTACAGCAGTGCTTCACCCTTAGTGGGCTGGGCATTGAGCTAAATGGTGCAGAGAACTCCAGAATTCACCAGTAAAAAACAACCTGAAACAAAAATATCTATGTCTATGTATACATGTATTTAAAATACATTATGTATATTTAATCCATTCCATCTACCACAACGTAGAGCCTGCACGCTGCTGCAAACAACCTTGGTTTTGTCACACTTCGCTTACCAGAACTCTGTTGAAGTCCAACTGAATTAACAGCTATCACTGAGA